ACGAGGAAAAGCTTCGGCTTGTGACGCGCCCCTTCAGTTTACTTTAAATTAATTTCTTCTCGTTCGACCTTTCGTCAGATGTAGTTTTTGAAGTCATGAGGAGAGAGTGTAACAAAATCTTCTCTTGAACACAAGAGGTACGTTCATTATAATGTGTACCTCTGTTAACTTTCGTGTTTCTAAGAGGTTTTCAATTACACAAAGTTATGACATTTTATCAAGTTTTTATTCATCTGAATATGTTAGTAATATTGCTCAACTAGTAATGCTGATTATATATCTTTTGAAATGCCAATATTTTGGATTGAAAAATCAATTTTGAATTTTTTTTCCAAAAGCAATTAAAATTAAGTGCGTTTTCAGTATTTTACAGACATACTGAGAAATCTAACAATTGCAGTACTAAGAGAACTACTACTTCTTGTCATTCTTAAAATTAATGATCTTGGTTTCGTCCAAAATGACTAATGCCATCATTTCCATCCGAAAATACAATGCCAAAACTATATGAACGTCGTTTCCTTTTTTTGATATTTTTACCATTGCGCATACTATGCATACTGCACGATCTTGCTTACTAGCATAATCCAAACGTCCCGAACACTTTCGTTTCAGGGTTCAAACAAGAAGCATTCATCATGTATCTTGTTTGCATCTAGTCAATTTGATCTGTAGAAGTCAATATACGAGAATGCATTTTGTTTGACATTCTGCACCCAAGTACTTAGAAACTATATCCAGTTCTAAGTTGGCTCTCCTTACTTGTCACTTTAATTGTTGCCTCAAAACTATTATATTACCGTTCTAAAAATTTATCAAGCATTATATTCCTCAGAACTCATTACCACTGCAAGTTCCTTACATGAAAAATCACTCTGGATTAGTCATTCGGGTTGTACGTCTACAAAAACATTTTAGATTCCGTTGAGATCAGTGTCACTATCCAAATATTTAATAAATAATGGTTTATCAAGTCCAAGTCTGATGTGGAGAGAAAGAGAGAGAGAGAGAGAGAGAGAGAGAGAGAGAGAGAGAGAGAGAGAGAGAGAGAGAATAACATAACACACTCTTGCGCACATGAATTTCACTTATATTTGGTGGGTGGGTGGGGGTGAGTGGGTGGTGTGGCTGAGCGTTCGTTTCCAACACAATGGTCATCTTCTACTATGATATTCTTCAAAGCAGAGAAAACAAGCCATTAACTCAACGACTTCCTCTAACGTAGATCGACAGCAACCGAAAGAGACACGAGCCTAAAAAACATTTCCGTCCCCAAGGGCCTAACCGAAGTGAGCTAGCTATCAATGTTATGCAACGCGGAGCGCTTACTATGCAACTCGAAAACAATTTTATGCTGATTTGCTTACACCCGATATAATATTTAAAACCACAAAATTTTTGTTGTCAATTTATCAAATTAGATACTGCCATTTATAAATGTAAGATATAATTGAATTGTGTTTACAATCACCAGTCCAATGGAATTGAAAAACAAAATGAAGGTATTATGTTGAAACTAAAATATATAAATCAATGAATTGTTCAAGATAAAGATGTATTGAAGCCTTCTAGCTCTGAACTAAAGAAATTTGAAATTTAATTTAATACTATATATTGTCAAATGGCTTTCAAATATAATTTTTCATAGAGGCGGTTATTTAAATATTATTGAATAATCCATAAAATTGTGAAAAGTACTGCCATTGGAAAAAAAACAGCCTATTCGTGTTCAGAACATTAAAATGAATCAATAAACAGATAATAACAAACATTTTCTTTACGTATCGTGGTACTACATGCTGACATTACGATTTGGGATTTCAATGGCAAAATTACAATTTAGTCTGGTTTTCTTTTTAATTAATTTTTTAAAATACTTTGTATTTGACGACAAAATTATAAACAAAATCGGGTGTGACGTATGGGAGAGAGATACAATCTACGTTGTACTATACTATTAAAGATTTAATTTTGATTCTTAAGTTTGATTAATGTACTGGAAGGATATAAACAAGCAACAATAGTAACAACCATTATAAAAAGTGGTTTAGAGAAGTTTGAGCACATCTGTGGACAAGTTTTTTTTTTTGATACGATTTGGGGCGTTTGCCGCACGTCATAAGTGGAATTCAGGAGTGGAAAGAGAAGAGGGAAGAGAATGGACGATAGAAGAGGACAGGAGAGAATAAAAGAGAAAATTGAAGATAGACGTCTAAAACCGAGTATTGATTGTAAGTTTAGAATATGAGGTTAGTTTAGTATGCACCCCTGCGCTACATAGGACTGTAACCCGCTATAAAATGCATTAAATTGTTCTTAAAAAAATATTTGCTACTTAATTGATGTCTTACAAATATTGATTTAGAGTTCTTTATGTCCTTGATGTTTACTTAGGTACTTAGTCTTTTCTTACTTTACTTGGAGCTGTTCGTCTTTCTAGGGACATTCTGCATTTTTATGCAGAATCCTCGTGTTTTTTTTGTTTTTCTGAGGTAACTTATCTATTTTGATATAGTGAGGATTTCTGCGGTCTTCTCACTGGGAATATTTTGGAATCAACTGTTCCATTACGACACCTAACTTCGGTTTGAAATTTAATGCTTTTTTAAATTATTTTTTAAATACTAAAGTTAAATACTAATATTTAAATATGGAGTATCATAGAAGACAGTAGGTAAAAAATGCTTGCACTTCGACCGAAAAATATTGTTCCGAATCACTTCATTACCACCCACTACTCCTCCTTGGCTGGTGATACTCCTCTTCCGAAAAACATACTTTCCCGTCTAGAGACGAAAACAACTATTATCTTTGTTAGATTGTCTGTCAGGCTGTCATTAAGGAACTATTTCATAAGTTGTTTAGACATTTTATTTATCAAGTTATTTTGATAAATATATTTTAAATTGAATGATTTTCTGTCAATGTGGGTATGATTTAATTATTTTAAAAATATTATCTAAATATGTCTGGACAAAAAACTTATCAAATATCTTCATTCCTAATTATAGATTATTTCTGTTTGTTTTTTTTTTAATTTTTTAAGGATGTGATCGAAAACGCACGAACGTTTACCCTCACGATCCTAGGGGACGTGAAGGAGAAACTTTATTTGCGCATGGTATAAGACAATCTGTACGTGTAATCATTAATAGCTGGCTCTGCTCAGCTTGGCCTAGCCCAGCGCCATCAGAAACTATGTTAGTACTATGTTGGTCTGATACGAGCCATGCTGAGCTGGGTAGTGATACAGAGTGTAACGAAAAAATGCGCGACTGGGACATGAAAGTACAGGTCAAATTAAATTTTCATTGATGTTTTATTATTAAACTATTTTCGATTTACCAGTTCATTGAAAATGTTACACAAAATGTACTATGCGATACAAAACAAATGCTTTTCTACTCCCACTCGAACTCATTTCGTCCATTTAAAGTTGGGAGTGGAGTTTTAAGAGAAAAGTGTTTATTAAAAAAGAATAATAAGGGCTCTGATTTGATCAGAAAACTAAAAAGGGATATATAACAACGGGAATACCAACGCGATTTGAGACAATTCACGTGATTTAAACCGACACATATCCGCAATGTTATATGTGACCCCAGAAGCCGTCCTCAGGTACCTCGTCAAATGTGGCGCGCAGTCGGCCATATCTCGGGCGCTCGAGCCCGCGTCCCAGGCTCCCCTCCCCCCACCCTTCCTCATCATGCCCCGCTCCCATGGGCCCGACACAATGGAACTTGTGAAGTTTTCACTTCGGGTGGAAGAGGAAGTCAAGGAATCTTCAGGGAAGATAAAACAACGTATTCCATAGCTCAAGATTGTAAAACAAAAACAAAAAATGAATTCACGATTCAACGGTGGAACACAACCGGAATTGCAGAGGTAGCGGGGGCAAATGCGTGCTAAATGCAACTCGCATCAACCAGAGGCCAAGCGTGCTGCAACACGTCACTACGCAATTCTGCTTGCCCGCTTACACACCTCTTCCACGGTTCAGTGACTCATGTTCATTTTCGTGGAAGTTTTATAAACATTCTTCTCGTCTTTCTGAATCTCGACAGATATTAAAACAGTACGAATATACGTTCTCGGTGAATGCACTGGTGCCAGGAAGTTTAGAAAGCGATGGGACAGGGGCATTGTCGGCTTTCTCTCCCACAATCTCTCCCGGATGACTACAGTATACACTAGTAAAATATCAGACACAAATATACCGTCGTCACGCACGTATTCATTGATGTGTGCAGACCAAAAACACGAACGTTCACGTATAGAATTCGCAATCATTTACCTACCACTACTCACAAATCACTGAAAATAACAATGCTTGACATTAAAGGGAGACATTACAAATATCATTTTCGGGTTAACAGAAATTCAGAATTAAACACAGTCTATTTTTTTCTGGAGTTACAAGATTTCTCCAACCTGAAATTACAAAACACTAACTTATATCGAAAAAAAAAGTATATCATTAAAATGTCAATGAAAATGCACATTAAATATGCTAAATAGAATACACACTAATCTTCACTTTTCATGCTGACAGGAAAAACACAACACATTGAGACCAAATAGGTTTAAACCGAAATACAATTATGCAAATTCTATTATTGCAAACGCGGAGCTCTTTATGCAAAAGTTAAAAGTGGGTGACTTTTACTCTATAATCTTATATCCTTCGAAAGCATTTAACTATCTATTATTCTTTTCACTTTCCTGCAGGAGTACAACATCGTTTTACAGCTGGACTTTGATGTTAAATAATATAATTAATTATTACATTACATAGGTCGACATTTAATTATGTTATTCAACACAATATTTACATACGGACATGCACATCGCAACAATGATAATATTCCATCAAATTCATTTATTTATTGACGTTTTTCAACCGTACCAGTACTTCCTACTACTACTCGTTTTGAAATTTCTAGGATACCCAAAACAGGGCACCACTCTTACTCTTTCCTGGGAGACACAAAACAACTTACCAATTGCGATTGTGATGTACAATGCTGACACATGTCGTACCGGACGACGACATACTTCCGCAATGACATTCATTTTCCCTTTCCAAGTCGAAAGACTTGGGACAGAGCCACTCTTCGTAAGCTACGAAGGGTCCTCGGAACCTGTATTACTTCGATGACAGCATTGAAAGTATATCACCTCCACTATGAATAGTCTTGGCTTCCTTTGTTTACCGAACCCAACACACGTCACAGTTCACATTCCTCATGAAGTACACCGGATTGCATCTCGACTTCAAGCAGATCTTGTTTTTCACATTTGAAGGATGAAGCATAAATTTTAGTGTTAGCTGGTACAACAATCACAGCGTAAAAATACATACGTTTGTTCACGCATGTACGAAAAAAAAACCTTTTCGACTCTGACAGAATTATTTTAGCTCGAGCGTATTTAGCTCGAGTGCTTTTGGTACGAACAATACACATGTGTTATTGTATAGTTCCACTTAGTGTCACAAGGAAAACATTTAATACAGCAAGTAACAGTCATAAAAATCCCATGGATTCACACCGTCACTACGCAAGCCACATGACTGGGCATTTAAGAGATTGTTTCAAACAAATCTGGTCCACTGGAACGCGCATAGTAACTCATTTAGCGCGCAACGAAGAGCGACATCAACACTCACGCGACGCGCTTGAACACTTCACTCAGAATGCGGCCGGTAAATGTTCCTCCCCGTCCCGTCTTCCAAGCAACGCGGTCCCCCCTCCTGCCCACTTCCCTAGCCAATCCCAGGCGCGAACCTCGTGTCGCTCACCAACGGCCGTATACGCGCTGAAACCCCGTAAAGCTCATTGTTCCATCCATTCCCATTTATGCTTGCGCCAAGACCAGCAATTGCAAATCAAAGCTAGAAATAAGAAAAGATCAAAATAACAATATGAACAGGTAATTGAAAACTATATTTTTTCACACAGTTTCTGTTACTTCCTTCCCAAAACCTGTTTGTGGGTGCTCCAAACACGACTGTCCAAAGAAACGAGGGTACGAGTTCCGTACAATAATGTGTGACTTGTCTTTGTCTAAAATGTGAACGCGAGTTAAATACCCTCAGGTGCATTTCGCTTTCTGCATTTTTATTTGTGCATCGATTTCGTACCTCCAGTGATCAATGATTGTGTTGTTCAGCTTAATTGACTCATGCCATCTCATTTACATAAGTCAAAGCAGCACTGCCTTTTAATGTGATATACTGCACTACCTTTTAGCGTGTTTTTTTTAAAACATGTACTTTTTGGCTTGACAAAATCTTACCTTTTTAACAGATGCGAATGCTTACACAAGTGTGAGCTGAACGAGCAATTGCCCCGAGCGCACTGTTTGAGAGGTGGCACATTTTTTCAATAAAAATATTTTATAAGTAAATGAATTATATTTTTAAACATACTTTTTGTAAGTTTAGTGTTTTGACAATTTTATATCGTTATCTGCAATGCCGCATTTGTTGGACTGGCGCGTAGAGATGAGTGGACTCAACTGGCTCAAAAACTTTCGAATAGTGTGGGATGATTTAATACAAATTATAATTTTTTTAATCGACAACTTAAATCCACAAACTTTTTTGACTGCTGTTAACCAAAATAGCCTCAAATGGTATTTTTTATCGTCTAAGATCATATTGAATAAAATGCACAAATTGAAACATGCCTAGGTTAAATAAGAAAATGCACCGAAGTAATTTAAAGACTATCTGGTTCTAAATTTTTACAACTCATAACAAGTTAAAACAAAAAACACAATTCAATAATGCATTTGGTTAACTTTTTTACTAAATAGCTCGTCACTTATGCAACGTAAACCCGCAACTATAACTTTTATAAATGTTTTTAAAATAAAAATGTCAACACAAATTAAAATAAATTAATAATATTTAAGTTTACAATAAGTTTAACAAAATTATTAAATACGCAGTTGTCCCGTTTATTTTGCTTTTATAAATACTAGTAATTTTAATTTTTATAATTTTTTTTAAAAATTACGTGAGGGAATTTGAACATTCCTCACTTAAGCTCACTCACGTAATCGTTTAAGCTATTGAACGCAGCATGTTTTAGTGGCCCTATTAATTTTTAAATTAACTAGTGTTAATACAACAGCACATACTTTCTCGCGTTGTTTCTAACTATTTGATTTTTGATATCCGCTATTATACACTGCTACATAAACATTCAAAAGTGTTTTCAACCAGCAAAAAATATTTTCCACACCTCTACTCGAACTCAGGTCCTTCGTGTCATCAGCCACGCTACAGAAGCGCTGTGTGGCTCGAAATCGGCCAGACGCTTATAAAATGTAATTGCCTTAACCCAATGTATCCAAAACGCAATTTTTCAGTTTTCGATTATACGAAGAGTTCCCCGGAAATGGGACCAGCACCATATTTTTTACCGTCCGTTTTACACACGAGGAAAAAAATAAAACAATATGATGCAGCTTTTGATAAAATAATTTGTTTAGAAATTGCATAAATATCAGACACAAATTAGACGAAATTAATCTTCTTTTTTTTTCAATTGTACATGACATTTTTAACACTAAAACGCCCGGCTTACCAATACACCCAAAACGCCCAGCACGGTGGTTCGAGCCTTCAACGTAACTTCATTAAAGAAATATTGGGAAAAATATTTATCTACGACTCTGTAACATATTTAAAAACAATAATTTAGTGTAATATTTCAGTATTATGCCACAACTTAAAAATATTTTAAACAAATATTATCATTACGCATATCATTACTGTTCCGCGAAGTCGAAGTTAAATAAACATGCTGAACGGAAACTAAGCAAACTGACAAAAAGTAATGTAGAAAAGTAAATTTTAATATAGTAACAATATTGTTTTAATAATAATAGTAATAATAGAAAATGTTATAAACATTTAATTTTAAATAATACTAGTTTCACATCTGACCCAAAAATATATTTCCTTGGAATGCACTTCTCATTGTATCTCGCAATATGTCGAATTTATTTGAAATATTTTACATATGTTTGTTTAATACCGATAGGAACTTGATGTGTGTTAGAAGACGGAGTTCTAAAAGAAATTAAATACCATGTTTCAAATAGCAGTAGTTCTTGTTCAGATTTTCATTGTATTTACTTTATACATTTCTGACCTTACTAGGCATAAATAGTATAAATATGTATAGTTGTAGATCTAAAACTAATGACTTGCACAGACTTAAGTTTTAGAGCGCATTTTGTAGAATATTACGTACGTTCGATCAACACTTGCCTCGCATCCTTATGCGTGGTTCATGGGTACATTTTGTACGTGTTCCCTCTCGTTGTCTTTCTCTAAACTTCCACAATATTTTCAATGTTCGTAAAAACACAGCATATTAGTGATAATCTCCTAAAAATCACAATTGTTTACTGCCTTTGACCGGTTTTAATGCCATGAACTATGTACTACATATATCGAGTCAGGAAGGTTAATGCCGGCATATCAATTTTTTTGTGTTATTTGTGTCCAAACCACTTTCATTATTTCGAAAATCATGAAACAAGACAGTGTCTAAAAAACCTTAGAATATCTCAACACACCATTACCATCTGGAGTCCAAAATGCCCGGCTGAACACAAAAAATGTCTTTTTTACTCTATCATTTCTCCTTTTCTGAATTATATGAAGAAATATTTTTTCATTCAACCTTTGTGTGATAACAATGCTATTCCTTTATAATATTTTCTTTTCGAAATTTAGTGATACATTTGCTATCTGACACTCATGAATTTCAATGTATTGAACACGAGAGCTAGAAAAAAACAACAAAGAAGGAAAGAATGGTCGCGTATTTCTTCAAAAGGTATGCCAAATACTACGAGAGACTTGTACAAAATTTCAGCGTCGAAATATATGACACAAAAGCTTGAGGATGGGGAGAAAACACAAGGAGTCGAAATGACGCTTTCCTGGCGTTCTAGCTAAACTCGACTGTTTTTCATGAAATATATATTTTTAACGTGCGTTTCAATTTTTAACATACTGTAATTAAATGAAAATGATGAAAATCACAAAATTACAAAATCCTATCAATAAACACAAAGTTACAAAGACATAAAGATAACCAGGAGTCAGAATGCCACCTCTGGGCGTTCTAGTGTTAAAGAGCTGATTTTTAATAACAGATTTTGTCCAAGACAAAAATCTCTATCTTCACTTTTATAGTTTTGAAATGTTAACTTTTTGCAGTTTTTTTAAAATACTGAGTGTTTGCTGAAAATGAGACTAGCACCATTTTTTTACTGCACCTTGATACACCCCGTATTTCCACACAAAATTACACGAAAACTACTCATATTTTCGAAAACTTGAACATGACCTTATTTCGAGATCACTCATAAAAGAACATTTTATGAAGGAAAAAATCTCTATCTCTATTAGTTTAGTTGTAAGAAGACTAAAAAAAATGAACTTTTGCAATTTTCGTAAAATTAGTGATGTCAACGAACATGAGACCTGTACTATTCTATTAAACATCATTTACGTTACCATAGATCAAAGTTAAATTTAAAAAATGGTGCCGTTTTTGAGAAAATTTTGAAAATGTTTTTGAGGCTTCATGTAAATTAGCTTCAAAAATCAAAATATACATTTGCAACTCCCAAAGTCTCGAGTTTGCCAGATAGATCAGGGAATAATATTTTGGAGAAATCGGCTAAATGGTTCAGGCGCTAGCGTTGATCACAGACAGACGGACAGATAGACGGACGGACGGACTTTTAGCGTCAATCGATTTTTCGGTATCAAGGACCCACAAAACATGGATTCACGCTACACCGCGTGTTCGAGGAAGTAATTTACTATATAGAAGAATAGGATTTATCCGCTATTTTATTACCAGGGCAGGTAATAATAGTTTCTCTGCCGAAAATTCGCCCGATTACATAGCATTCTCTTTCTACGAAGTAAGGGCGAGAAAGTAAAAATGGGCAAGGAATTGTTTTTAATTAATTATTTTGGTAATAATTAATTCGTATAAAAATTCTGTTTATTCTCATCATAAATCAGCTGATCATTAAAAAATCAGTTTAGGTTTCGGCGCGCGAAATAGTATCCACCCTCGATTTTTTTGTAAAGAGAACTCATCTCGTGTTTACATTATGTAGTGTCACATTTACAAAGCAATGAATTTGTCAGGCGCATCGTCACCGTAAATAGATAAAATAGAATTCATCTCTCCATTTAACAACATATACCTGTTAATTTGTATTAGAAGTAAATATATTTTATTAGAAGTAATTATATATATTTTAATCTGGCGCCGGAAATCGGCTCTATTTCGACAAACACACTCTTATTGTCGGGCCCCGATAAAGGAAAGGTGGACAAATCTTGTTCCCATATGTAGAAAAATTAGTGCCTTTAACAAATTCTGTAGTGAGAGCCCATTTTTGTGGGTACTTGATACCGAAAAATCTATAAACGGCTGGTCTCATTTTAGTTGAAATCACGGATTTTCCAAATATTGTAAAAGTTTAAACCTTTTCAGCGACATTCTTCAACTACAATGTTATAGATATTTTTTTACTCTCTCACCTTTCGTAAAAAGTTGAAGTATTGACGAAATAAGAAAAAATAGTGCCGATAAGAAAATCTTGCTCCGGAAAACGGTGATTTTTCAACAGAATCACATTTATTGC